CCGCTGGGCAAGTTCTCCACCGTGTCGCCGAAAGGCCGGCCTGGGACACGGTGGCATTCAAGAATCGTGTCTTATCCGTCTCGCGCATGTCAGCCAGTCACAACCAGAAATGGCACTCCCCGACCACCATAGTGGACATCGCACGAACCAGAGACCGCGCCGTAACCCGGCAGCAGCTGCACGTAACCGGTGAAGGGCCGGTTAAGGGCCAGGATGTACCTGCTGGCCTCATTCTGCTTTGGTCAGTGGAGAACCGCTGGGCAAGTTCTCCACCGTGTCAGAGACGGCCGATGAAGCTGCAGCACCCCTGCAGCAAAACATGCCTTGCTGTGTCTTGAGCTTGGCGGGCAGCATCAGATAAAATGGCAGTAATTGGGGTGCTTTGTACAGTGGCAGCACTTTTTTGAATGGCATCGCAATGAAGTTTAGAATTCTCATGCTCGTTGAATTTTTCTGTGGCTTTCCGCCAGTTTGTGAAGCTTCACTTTACAAAACTGCTGTCAAATCTCACACTATCTTCATTAATGAGATGTTTTTTCCACTGCTTTCACACAGCTAAAATAGACAACACGATCACCTTCCTCAATGTAATGCAGCCACCTCCATTTGTCGAACCAGTTTGTATTGAATGAATGAGAAAATGTCTCTTTTCCGAACTGCCTACCAGGAAAACTGAAGTTAGCTGACTGGTGTGGAGTGATTGCCTCGACCAACTGAGTTGACAGCTGAGTTGACAGGGGCCCGGCCCACCCACAAAGCACACTTACCCTGTGTATGTGCTTTTGTGTGTGCGAGTGTGTTGTGTATATGTCTCAGCTACTTTGTGATGCATTAAAACAGTGAGATGTGTAATGCTGCCCAGGCCAGAGACCCAGTCCACCCACACAGCACACTTACCCTGTGTACATTACCGCGGGAAGTAGGGGTGCTGAGGGTGCTGCAGCATCCCTGGCTCGGAGCTAAAGAAAAAATGGGGGTGCTGGGGGTGCTGGGGGTGCGGTGTTAAAAATAAATCCTGTCACCAATCCAACCGTATCAGGCCCTTTTTCTTGCCTACAATTCAGAAGCTCTCAATCGACATCCCCTCTTGACCCTCTTTTGTCGATGACTGACCGTAAGGCACACTTACCCTGTGTACATTACCGCGGGAAGTAGGGGTGCTGAGGGTGCTGCAGCATCCCTGGCTCGGAGCTAAAGAAAAAATGGGGGTGCTGGGGGTGCGGTGTTAAAAATAAATCCTGTCACCAATCCAACCGTATCAGGCCCTTTTTCTTGCCTACAATTCAGAAGCTCTCAATCGACATCCCCTCTTGACCCTCTTTTGTCGATGACTGACCGTAACCACCCCGTCACACGTTTTTGGTTTTAAAAACATCTATACAAACGATATTCAATAAACATCCTCCAACCAGTCATACCCGTAGAAAGATTTTCCAGCCACTCCTTCTGAATCGGGGCAGTAACTACAGCAGCTCAAAAAAGGTCTCTCATAGCAGCAGATCCAAGCTCTCGGTCGATGGTCATCGGACGCCTTCAAGAGCTATATCAGGACCAACAATTTTCACACAAAGAAAGCCCATCTAATTTCGATCAGTTAAAAGCAATTTGAGGCTGCTGCTGCAATGCCCTGCTTAATTTAATACTGTCACAGCAGTGCCTGCTTCATTTGATTCTGCCGCCGCAGTGCCCCGCTTCATTTGATACTGCCGCCGCAGTGCCCCGCTCATTTGATACTACAGCTGCTGCAGTGCCCTGCTCATTGGATGCTGCAGTGGTCTGCTCATTTGATGCTGCAGTGACCTGCTCATTTGATACTGCCGCCGCAGTGCCCTGCTCATTCGATACCGCCGCAGTGACCTGCTCATTCGATACCGCCGCCGCAATGACCTGCTCATTCGATACCGCTGCCGCAATGACCTGCTCATTCGATACCGCCGCCGCAATGACCTGCTCATTTGATACTGCTGCCGCAGTGCCCTGCTCATTTGATACCGCCGCCGCAGTGCCCTGCTCATTTGATACTGCCATCGCAGCGCCCTGCTCATTTGATACTGCCACCGCAGCGCCCTGTCATCCGACGCTTTAAACCACGTCACGCAGTCAGCTGCAAGAGGGACTCTCCCTTCCGGTGCAGCAGAGCCGCAGCTCCCTTCGGATGCAGCTAGAGTCCCTCACCTGGCCTTCCATCGTGCTCCTCATTCGGCGACAGGTAGGGCTTGCCATCTGACGAGTAGAGTCGCAGCTTACATTCTAAGCACCGCACGACCCCTCCCAGTCGCCCTGCCGCCTCCTCGCACACCCCAATGACCTGCTCATTCGATACCGCCGCCGCAATGACCTGCTCATTTGATACTGCTGCCGCAGTGCCCTGCTCATTTGATACCGCCGCCGCAGTGCCCTGCTCATTTGATACTGCCATCGCAGCGCCCTGCTCATTTGATACTGCCACCGCAGCGCCCTGTCATCCGACGCTTTAAACCACGTCACGCAGTCAGCTGCAAGAGGGACTCTCCCTTCCGGTGCAGCAGAGCCGCAGCTCCCTTCGGATGCAGCTAGAGTCCCTCACCTGGCCTTCCATCGTGCTCCTCATTCGGCGACAGGTAGGGCTTGCCATCTGACGAGTAGAGTCGCAGCTTACATTCTAAGCACCGCACGACCCCTCCCAGTCGCCCTGCCGCCTCCTCGCACACCCTACTTTTCTTCATGGCACGCATATTTTTGGGGCTCTACTTAGTTTTCTCTCCGGCTGCTGTCTCATGCCATTAGCTTCATTTGGGGAGTTCTCTGGGTTCGGGCTTTAACCCGAGCTCGGAGCCCTCCCTCTGGACAGCACGCCAAATATGCTACTAATTGCTTAATCACATTATATGTTAGTGTGAACTCGTGAAATACTGAATGGCGGCTCAAAACACCCAACCGCTGCAGGAGTATATGATTACAGCTCTCAGTGGGATAAAGCAAACCAGTGTCGCGCTAGTAAAGTTTTGATTGATGAAGACTGTAATCAAGGTAAGCAATTCCAGTGGTGTGCAGGAGTCATACATTAGGTACTTGAGTTATAT